TGAAGAGATGCTCAATATCGTTATCTATCAGAGATATGCAAATTAAAACCACAATGAGATACCACTTTACACCAGTCAGAATGGCTATCATAAACAAAGCAACAAACAACAAATGTTGGAGAGGTTGTGGGGAACATGGGACCTTAGTTCACTGGTGGTGGGATTGCAGACTGGTACAACCATTATGGAAGACAGTATGGAATTTTTCTCAGAAAAATAAAAATCGACCTGCCTTTTGACCAAACAATTTTACTGCTAGGATTGTATACTAAGAATCCTAAAACATCAGTATCAAAAAACCTATGCACCACAATGTTCATAGCAGCACAATTTACAATAGGCAAGAGTTGGAAGCAACTTAGGTGCCCATCAGTAAATGAATGGATCAAAAAATTGTGGTACATATACACAATGGAATTCTATGCTGCAGAGACAAAGAAGAAGCTACTACCCTTTACAACAACATGGATGGAACTAGAAAGCATTATGCTGAGTAAAATAGGCCAGGCGTTGAAAGACAAATACCATATGATCTCACCTTTAACAGGAAGCTAAACAACAAAACAAACAAGCAAGCAGGAAAAAAAAAAAAAACAAATACACTGAAATAGAGAACAAGGAGACAGTGACCAGAAGGGAAGTTAAAGGGAAATAGGGGGAGGGATTTGGAGGAACAAATAGGAGGGACACAGGGAGGAGAACTAAGGGGGGAGGAAAAGGGAGGGAGGTGGGGAGCAAGGGGTGGGGGAGGCTCGGATGGGAGAAATAGACAAAAAACTGTACTTGAAAAATAACTAAATAAAATTAATTAAAATTTAAAAAAGAACCTATCAATAATAACCTTAAATGTAAAATGATGAAATGTTTCAATAAAAAGAGGGAGCACAGGATGGGGTGGGCTGGGATCAGAGAAATAGGCAGCAAAATGTACTTGAATAATAATTAAATTTTTTAAAAAGACGCAGGGGAAAAAAAGACATAGTTCTGCTGAATGAATAAGAAAACATGACTGACACATATCTTGTCTACAAGGGACCCACCTCAGGAAAAAAGACCTATACAGACTGAAAGTGAAGCATTGGGAAAAACTATTCCAAGCAAATGAACCAGGCAAAAAAGCCAGCATAGCAATACTTATACAAGACAAAATAGACTTCAAAACAAAACTCATAAAAGGAGACACTGAAGGACAGTTCATAATACTCAAGGGAAGAAGGCATTAAAAAGACATAAACACTGTAAATAAATATGCACCAACATAGGAACACCCAAATATAGAAGGAAAGTCTTGGAGGACTTCAGGAGAGATAAAGATAGAAACACACTTATAGTAGGGGATTTTACACCCCACTGTCAAAAAGGGATGGGTCTTCCAAAAAAAAATGTCAAGTGTATGCGGCACTGAATGATACACTAGGTCAAGTGAACTTAACTGATATATATAGAAACTTTTATCCCCAAGAAGCAACATACACATCCTTTTCAAATGCAAATGAATTTTTCAGAGATACATCACATGATAGGACAAAAAACAAGCCTCAACAAATTCAAGAGAATTGAAATCATATCATGCATTTTCTTGGACCACAAGAATCTGCAACTAGAAACCAACCTCAAGGAAAAAACTCAAAAACATTCCAATTTATACAGACAATAGCATACTATTAAACAAGGAATAGGGTAATAATGAGATCAGGGAAGAAATAAAAATGTTTCTGGAAACAAATGAAAATGAACACAAAAGAGTCCAAAACTTATGGGACACAGTGAAAGCAGTTCTGTTAGGGAAGTTCATGTTGATATAGGCCTACCTAAAAAAGATAGAAACAATTCAAATAAACAACCTAAGTCTACATCTACAACAATTGGAGGAACAATGATGAACAAAGCCCAGAGCAGTAGATGGAAGGAAATGACATAGGTCAGAGCAGATTAAATGACATACAGACTAAAAGATCAATTCAAAGCATCAATAAATCCAGGACCTGGTTCTTTGAAAAGATAAACAAAATAAAAACGCCTTTAACCAGACTCATCAAAGAAAAGAAAAATGAACTCCAATAAATAAAATCAGAAATAAAAGAGGAGACATTACAACTCATACCATAGAAATTCACTGAAAGACTCAACAAAGAGAAAACTACAGACCAATATCACTGAAGAACATAGATGCTAAAATCATCAACAAAATATTAGCAAACTGCATTGAGCAATATATTAAGATTATCATACCCATGATCAAATAGGACTCATCTGAGGGATGCAAGGAAGGTACAATATTTGTATCAATAAATGTAATACATCACAAAAACAAAAGGAAAGACAAAAGTCATATTATCATATCAATAGATGCAGAAAAAGAATTTGATAATGTAGAGCACCAATTTGACTTAAAAAAATACTCTCCAAAGCGGGAGTACAGGGGGCATATATCAACATAACAAACACCATATATGAGAAACCTACAGGCACCCTGTATTGAATGGGCAAATATAAAAGCTTTTCCACTAAGATCAGGAAAAAAACAAAGATATTCTCTTTCACCACTACTATTCAACATAATATTAAAAGTCCTAGCCACAGAAATCAGAGAAGAAAAAGAAATAAAAAACATCCAAATTGAAAAGGAGGAAGTAAAACTGTCATTGTTGCAGATGACAAGATAGCATACATAGAAAACCTTATAGATTCTATCAAAAAACACAATTGACCTAATAAGTGAATTTGCAAAAACAGTGGAATACAAGCATTTTCTTGGACCTTCAGTTTCAGTACTCAGAAATTGAAGACATTTTGCACACCAACAATAAAATATCAGAAACAAATAGGAAAAAATCCCATTTGCTATAGCAACAAGAATGTATCCAGGAATAAACCTAAGTAAAAAACCTGTACTCAGAAAACTACACAACACTGAATAAATAAATTAAGGAAGATACAAATAAATGGAAGCCTATGCCATATTTATGGGTTGGAAGAATTACATCATCATAATGTCCACACTACCCAAAGCAATTTGTAGATTCAATACAAACCCTATTAAAATACCAATGACATTGTAGATACAGAACAAACATATCAAAAATTTATGTGGTGGGCAAAATGAGGACAACTGTACTTGAATAATAATTAAAAATAAATTTTTAAATTAGAAAAGAAAAAAATTTATGCTGAACTATTAACGAACTCATATAGCCTCAGCAATTTTGAGAAAGAAGAATAAAGTAGGAGGAATCACAATACCTAATATCAAACTATTTCACAAAGCCGCTGTAATCAAAACAGTCTGGTACTGGCATAAGAACACATATAGACCAATGTAATTGGATAGAGAGTCCAGAAATAAACCCATGTCTCTATGGTCAATAAATATTCAACAAATGGAAAGGAGCACAAAATGTAGTAAAAATAGCCTCTTCAACAAATGGTGTTGCAAGATCTGGACAGCTACATGCAAATAAAACTCAAACACTGACTTACACCAACACAAAAATAAACTAAAGATAGATAAATTCAAAGGCTTCTACACAGCTAAAGAAAACACCAACAGAATGGAAGTGGAAATAAAGGAGGGAAGAAATGGGGACTTTTGCAATAATGTCAACAATAAATATAAATAAATAAAAAAGGTTTTAGCAGGAATGAAAGATAGGTGCATTCGTGTTTTTAGTGACCACTTGGGCTGCTCTGTGGAAAATGGCTACGCTGGAGGTGAGGTATAAGAGAAGGGCAGAGGGGTCTATGTAGAAGACTGTTATATTGATCTAATTGTATGGATGAAGGTACAGCATGGATGGAGGGGAGGGAGGAGCTTGTGGTGATACTGTGAATTGAAAAACAATGGAAGCTGATAACAACTTGAACCTGAAGGTGAGGATCCAAGAGGGATAACTAAGTATTATTCTTTTGAAGATTAGTGGTAGACGATGTATGTCTTAGTCATTTGGGGCTTGTTATAGCAAAATACTACCAACTGGGTGACTTATAAACAGCAGAAAATTAACTGCTCTCAGTCTGGAGACTGGAAGTCCAAAATCACAGTGCTACCATAATTAGAGTGAGGGCCATCTTTCAGGTTGCAAACACTCATATTCTCACATGGAAAAAGAAACTGGGGCACTGATCTCATGCATGAAGGCTCTGCCCTCATGACCTAATCACGTCCTAAAGGCTCAACCTCCTAACACTCTTACATTGGACTTTAGGATTCCAACATACAAATGAAAGAAAAAATTAAATAATTTAAAACTTAAATATCCCAGTTTAAGGTTTTAATAATTTAAAACCTAAGTATCCCAGATTTATGCTGTATCACTTCAAGAATTTTTTTTAAATCTTTGAAACATGCATGCAATAGAATGAATCTTGGCTATAGTATTTATAATATTCAAAATTTTTAGTGTCACAGAAGCCAATTATAACATTTATTTGATCAAAATAAGTCCTATTTATCTATAAACTTATTGGAATAATTTACCATATTGGAGTTGGAAATTGTAAAAAAGGGTCAGAATGCATGAACTGTAATTAAACAGAAATTTAGGCCTATGCTGAAAACAACTTGGGAAACTCTCATGTGTTCTGGATGTCAGAATTTCTTTATGTCCAGCATGCCTAATACATTTTTCATCAGGCATATTTCTCAAGAGATATTCCTCATTCTTCTTTTTTTCTATGACTTCCAAAATGTCATGGGCCCACAGAAGTCTTTCAGGAGCTCTCCTTGCCCACCTCCACTCCTGACTATCATAGCTAATCAAGGAACTACCTTGGTTTGCTCCATAGGTATTGTCCCTGTGTGAGTCCTAAGAGAAGTGATTCCTTGTAAAGTATCATGGGAACCTGCAATACAAATTTAAAATACCATAAAATACACTGGACACTAATTAAGATATCACTGTTCAGCCACACTGGAAGATAAAAAGAGGGTCAGAAAAGGATTCATCCCTTAGCTTATGTGTTGGTGTGTAACTCTTGTTTTCTATCCTACATTATTTTAGGGAGAAAATTCATTACATTCGGACTGAGGGTAATCATGGGCTTGAAAAATTGTCCTGTGATGCAGATCTAGTTATTTTGCTGAGGTAAGAGGTTAAGCCTGAAGCAATTATGCAAAAAGCATCTATAAAAACTACTCTGGGCAGTTCTCTTTCACTGCAGCCATAACAGAAACACGCTATTTGTTCTAGAGGTTTCTAGTAGCTATGACTGGAGTAGGGCTCCCACCTACTGTCTATTACCTTCTATACACTTACAGCTCAGGTAACAAAAGCTAAATATATGAGATCTGTCCAGAAAGTATCCAGTCATGTACTATGAAAAATAGAGACATTTATTAAAGAAGATTCAAGATACAATAAACATTATACAAAGGACAATGACACCTCAGTCCCCTTCAAAGTAGGTACCTTGGAACCTCATACAGTTTTCCCAGCATCTCTTCCACTGTTCAAAATTCTCTGCAAAATCCTTTTTTGGAATCACCATCAGCTTCCCTGTCATACTTTCCTGAATCTCATCAATGATCTGAAATCTCTTCCCTTTCAAAGGTGATTTTAGTTTTGGGAAAAGCCATAACTCTTTGTTGATGGCAGCCTATACACGTTCAACATTCTCAGGTGTTCTTGTTGCATACCTTCCAGAATGTGGATCACTTTCAACAAATTCTTGACCAGCTTTAAAGTGTTTGTGCTACACTTCTTTGGTGCTTCACTCATTGCATCATCCCTAAAATCCTTCTGAATAGTTTTCAACGATGAATGTTCAATCTTAATGCAATGTTTGGTGTAGATGTATTGCTCTTCTCAGTCACTTTGAATATGACAGACATGCAGTACACATGCTCACTCAATAGTGACCACTGTCCCCACTGACTAACTAGTACAGTTAAGTCATCATTGTTCATGCATGCACATTCCAGTCCACTTTTTTTGGCCACCGGATTACATTGACATTATGCAAATGGTTCTTGTTAAATTAACAATGGCTGGACTCTTTCTGGAGAGGCCTCATAGTACCTGATGAAGACTTTGTTGTAATATTAATTAGCATTTTAATTAACACTGAGAAATAAATAACACAGGATTTGCATGGTGAGATGTGCCTATCATTTTCTTTCAAGATTTTATCTATCTATCTATCTATCTATCTATCTATCTATCTATCTATCTATCTATCTATCTATTTATCTATATCTATTTATTGGAAGGGAAGGAGAGAGAGAGGGATAGAAACATTAATGTGTGGTTGCCTCTCACATGTCTCTTACTGGGGACTTTGTAATCCAGGCATGTGTCCTGACTGAGAATCAAACCAGCAACTTCCCACACACCTGTGCTCAATTCACTGGGCTACACCAGCAAGGGTGGGATTTGCCTATTCTTTTAATACTACATCTAAATGTATTTTTTTTCTTTGCAAGAAGTATAGCTACTATTAATTACCCCCAATTCATGAACATTCTCGTGAAAAGAACTATTTAATTTTTTTACTTTGCAGTCTGTTCGAAGAAGAGATTATGTCCTATATTCCTCTGCAAGCTGCCTTTCACTCTGGGTATAGCTTTTCTCCCCGCTCTTCACCCTGTTCCTCACCTCAGAACTCCCCAGGTAACTTGAGAATCTGGCAGTACATCTCCTGTAAGTGGTCATCTGTGTTTCTACCAGATGAAGGTGGAAAAGGGACAATTGCATGCTCGTCCTTTTTCCCTGCCACCTGTTTGTGTAATTCCCTAAGACTTGAATGCATTTTACATTTTTAAATGGTTTGAATTTTTTTACAAAACTAATATTTCATGTCATTTATTGATTATATGACATTCAAATTTCAGTGTCTATAAACAAAATTTTAGTGGAACCCAGGCATACATGTTTATTTAAGTATTTTCTATGGCAACTATCATACTATAATAACAGGGTTGAGTAGTAGCAAAAAAAAAAAAAACATATGGCCCCCAAATCTAAAACATTTATTATCTGTATCCCCCACACAAGTGTGCCAGATCCCTGCTCCAAATTGCTATTATATTCCAAATGCATTCTATAAGAATTTAAAAGGAAAGAGTCCTTTCTGAAATGTTCACCCTTATGACTCATAATGTTAATGGCTACCAATTTCAGCACATTTTGTTAAGTAATAAGGAAGTTACCAGATTATATGATTAATAGAGACCACCATGTGTCCCCAGGAAAATACCAAAGTTTTCTTTCATGATGTGAAATGGTTCCCCTAAAGTTTGCTTTATGAATTAGAATGAATTTACTCAATATACAAAATTCTGTGTAGATATTTTTAATTCCAAATGTAAAAATATATATTAAACTCTTTACTGAAAAAGAAGATATTATTTCCTGGTATATTTTGGAGATTAAACCTTGTCTGCAAGGTTTGATATTGGAAAATATGTTTTCCCATACAGTCGGTTCTCTTTTTATTTTAATACTGTTCTCTTTAGCCACGCAGAAGCTTTTTATTTTTATTAGATCCCATTTATTTGTTCTTTCCTTTATGTCCCTTGCTCTAGGGGACATATCAGTAAAAATGTTGCTGCATGAAATATCAGAGATTTTCCAGCCTATGTTCTCCTCTAGGACTTTATAGGTGTCACAGCTTATTTAAATATTTTATCCACCTTGAATTTATTTTGGTGTATGGTGTAAGCTGGTGCTCAAGTTTCATTTTTTTGCACGTAGCTGTCCAGTTCTCCCAACACCATTTGTTGAAGAGGCTATCTTTACTCCATGTTATGTTACTGCCTCCTTTGTTGAATATTCATTGACTGTAGAGAGTTGGGTTGATTTCTTGGCTCTCTGTCCTGTTCCATTGGTCTATGTGCCTGTTTTTATGCCACTACCAGGCTGTTTTGATTACAGTGGCTTTGTAATACAGTTTGATATCAGGTATTGTGATCCCTCCTACTTTGTTCTTCTTTCTCAAAAGTGCAGCTGCTATTGGGGGTCATTTATGGTGCCCTATAAATTTTTGAACTGTTTGTTCTATGTCTGTCAGATATGTCAATGGTGCTTTAATAGGTATTGCATTCATTAAGACCATGAACTTAGGTCAAATCCATAGCCCCAAACAGGACCAGATATTGGAAACTTTTCCCCCATTTGTTTGGTTTGCATTATCACATAGTTGCATGTCTCTGTGGTAACCTATTTCTTTAAAAGGAAGTTATTTAGAAAAATCTGGTAATTATCTGGTAATTTATTATCTCAGAACCTCAAGAATCAGAGTCCAAGTTTGGCTTTCAAAGTCAATGAGGATATTCCAAAGAGAAACCAAATTTTGAAAAGTGTTTTGTCCCTCAAACAGGATGTCTCAGCATCACTTAATACAGCCATAGGTCTCTAAAATTAGATTATTTTTTAGTTTGACTCCTCCAAGTCATGTCACTCAATACTGTCTCATATACATGGTTCTGATAATTCTTAAATTTGTTTTTTTTCCTCTTTTCTATTTTTTTTAAATTTTATTTAGTTATTTTTCAAGTACAGTTTTTTGTCTATTTTTCCCATCCCAGCCTCCCCCGCCCCTTGCTCCCCACCTCCCTCCCATTTCCAGCCCCCTTAGTTCTAGTCCCTGTGTCCTTCCTATTTGTTCCTCCAAATCCCTCCCCCATTTTCCCCTTAACTTCCCTTCCTTCTCCCCTCTGGTCACTATCCCGTGTTCTCTATTTCAGTGTCTTTGTTTTTTATTTGTTTTTTTTTTCTGCTTGTTTGTTTGTTTTGTTGTTTAGCTTCCTCTTAAAGGTGAGATCATATGGTATTTGTCTTTCAACCCCTGGCTTATTTCACTCAGCATAATGCTTTCCAGTTCCATCCATGTTGTTGCAAAGGGTAGTAGCTCCTTCTTTCTCTCTGCAGCATAGAATTCCATTGTGTATATGTACCACAATTTTTGGATCCATTCATTTACTGATGGGCACCTAGGTTGCTTCCAACTCTTGGCTATTGTAAATTGTGCTGCTATGAACATTCTGGTGCATAGGTTCTTTGATATTCATGTTTTAGGATTCTTAGGATATAATGCCAGCAGTGGAATTGCTGGGTCAAAAAGCAGGTCGATTTTTATTTTTCTGAGAAAATTTCATACTGTTTTCCATAATGGTTGTACCAGTCTGCACTCCCACCAACAGTGAACTAAGGACCCCTTTTCCCCAAAACCCCTCCAACATTTGTTGTTTGTTGCTTTGTTTATGATAGCCATCCTGACTGGTGTAAAGTGGTATCACATTGTGGTTTTAATTTGCATCTCTCTGATAGATAATGATATTGAGCATCTCTTCATGTGTCTCTGAATGTTCTGTATGTCCTCCTTGGAGAAGTGTTTGTTCAAGTCCTTTTCCCATTTTCTAATTGAGTTGGGTGTCTTCTTAGAGTGGAGTCATGTAAGTTCTTTGTATATTTTAGAGATTAAACCTTTGTCTGAGGTATCATTGGCAAATATGTTTTCCCATACAGTTGGTTGTCTTGCTAATTTAATACTGTTTTCTTTAGCCATGCAGAAGCTTTTTATTTTGATGAGATCCCATTTGTTTATTCTTTCCTTTACATTCCTTACTCTAGGGGACATATCAGTAAAGAAGTTGCTGTGTGAAATATCTGAGATTTTCTTGCCAATGTTCTCCTCTAGGACTTTAATGGTGTCACGACTTACATTTAAGTCTTTTATACACCTTGAATTTATTTTGGTGTATGGTGTAAGTCTGTGCTCAAGTTTCATTTTTTTGCATGTAGCTGTCCAGTTCTCCCAACACCATTTGTTGAAGAGGCTATCTTTACTCCATTTTATGTTACTGCCCCCTTTGTCGAATATTCATTGACTATAGAGAGTTGGGTTGATTTCTGGGCTCTCTGTTCTTTTCCATTGGTCTATGTGCCTGTTTTTATGCCAGTACCAGGCTGTTTTGATTACAGTGGCCTTGTAATACAGTTTGATATCAGGTATTGTGATCCCCCCTACTTTGTTCTTCTTTCTCAAAAGAGCAGCTGCTATTCGGGCTCGTTTATGGTTCCATATAAATTTTTGAAGTGTTTGTTCTATGTCTGTGAAATATGCCATTGGTACTTTAATAGATATTGCATTGAATCTGTATATTGCTTTGGGTAGTATGGACATTTTGATGATGTTAATTCTTCCAATCCATGAACAAGGTATATGTTTCCATTTGTTTGTGTCTTCCTTGATTTCGTTCTTCAGGGTTGTGTAGTTTTCTGCATACAGGTTTTTTAACTCCTTAGTTAGGTTTATTCCCAGATATTTTATTTTTCTTTTTGCTATATCAAATGGGATTTTTCTCTTTATTTCTGCTTCTGCTGATTCACTGTTGGTATACAAAAATGCCTTTGATTTCTGGATATTGACTTTGTAACCAGCTGTTTTGCCAAACTCATTAATTAGTTTGAGCAGTTTTGGGGTAGAGTCTATAGGATTTTCCATGTACACTATCATGTCATCTGCAAACAGTGACAGTTTTGCTTCCTCCTTTCCTATTTGGATGCCTTTTATTTCCTTTTCTTGCCTGATCGCTGTGGCTAAAACTTCCAATACTATATTGAATAGAAGTGGTGAAAGTGGACAACCTTGTCTTGTTCCTGATCTTAGTGGAAAAGCTTTTAGTTTTTTCCCATTGAGTATGATATTGGCTGGAGGTCTCTCATATATGGCCATTATTATTTTGAGAAATGCTCCCTGTATTCCCACTTTGCTGAGTGTTTTTATCATAAATGGGTGTTGTACCTTATCGAAAGCTTTTTCCGCATCTATTGATATGATCATGTGATTTTTGTCTTTGCTTTTGTTTATGTGATGTATTACATTTACTGATTTGCGAATATTGAACCATCCTTGCATCCCTGGGATGAATCCTACTTGATCATGGTGTATGATCTTTTTGATATATTGTTGGATGCGATTTGCCAATATTTTGTTGAGGATTTTAGCATCTATGTTCGTCAGTGATATTGTCCTGAAGTTTTCTTTCTTTGTTGTGTCTCTGTCTGGTTTTGGAATTAAGATGATGCTGGCTTCATAAAAAGAGTTTGGGAGGTTTCCATCCTTCTGGATTTTTTGAAATAGTCTGTGGAGAATAGGGGTTAGCTCTTCCTTAAATGCTTTATAGAATTCTCCTGTGAAACCATCTGGTCCAGGGCTTTTGTGTGATGGGAGTTTTTTGATTACTGCTTCAATTTCTTTTGCTGTTATTGGTGTATTTAGATTTTCTGCTTCTTTTTCATTGAGTTTTGGAAGATTGTATTTTTATAGAAATGTGTCCATTTCCCCTAGGTTTTCAAATTTCTTGGCATAAAGTTCTTCATAGTAATTTCTTACAATCTCTTCTATTTCTGTGGTATCAGTTGTAAGCTCTCCTTTCTCATTTCTGATTGTGTTTATTTGTGTCCTCTCTCTTCTTTTCCTGATGAGCCTACTTAAAGGCTTGTCTATTTTGTTTATCTTCTCAAAGAACCAACTCCTGGATTCATTGATCCTTAGAATTGTGCTTTTAGTTTCTATGTCATTTAATTCTGCTCTAATCTTGGTTATTTCCTTCCTTCTGCTTGCTCTGGGCTGTCTTTGTTGTTGTTCCTCGAGTTCTTGCAGGCGT